CTCTATTATTTTACTTCTTCTGTTCTGTTTGAACCCCTTTCTTTTCCTTCCTTTTTTTCTTGTAAGCTGCCTAGGCTAGCTTCATAAAATAACAATAAAAATGATAGGGATAATGACAATGTTTTGCCTCGATTTTGAAACCAAGGTTCTCAACCGGAATGTTCCAATGAAATGTTTTGAATAGTAAACTGCACGTGTGGGGAACAGAACTAAACACCAATTGAAGCGCTCTTTCTTTTGTTTAAAAAAATAAAACCAGAGGTATTTTGCATGTTTCAGAAATGAAAAAAAAAACAAAAAAAACCTAAAAGCAAACTTTTGCTTGTTTTTCGATCTCAGAAGGTGGAGAAAGAGAGGGGGGGGGGGGGGAATTCTCATTATGGAAGCCATTTTTCCCACTTTCCCCTATGCCTCCTGCTCTGAATTTAGAGATATGTTACTATTCTGCCCTTGAGGCCTGATAAAAAGGAACAGGAAGAGAGATTACGAGGCTAACTCTTAATCATAAAAAAAAGAAAATCGAACAGAAGGACTTTTAATCTCTCAGACAAACCCTTCACATCGATTATTTTTTCAGCTGACGTTTTATCCTGGGGAATAACTTTGTTTTGAAGGCTGGCTATTTCGAGCAGAAGGAATGCTAAAACGGACTGGCGTTGCTTCTTTTGTGAGTCAGAAAACTAAGACAGGGAGTCCACTGTTAAGTGCTAAGCTGTTAAGTGAGTCACTGCGGTTCTTAGCAACACGGTCGTTAAGTGAGTCTGGCTTCCCCCATTGACTTTGCTGGTCTGAAGGTCGCAAAAGGGGACCACATGAACCTGGGACATCGCAACCATCGTAAGTACATGCCAGTTGCCAAGCATCTGGATTTTGATCACGTGACCAGAGAGATGTTGCAACAGTCGTAAGTGGGAAAAACGGTCATAAGTCACTTTTTTCAGTGCCGTTGTAACTTCGGTCACTAAACAAATGGACTGCCTATAATTAAAAAAAACCTAAACTCTCCCAGTCCCATAGAGGTCAGGGGGGAAAAAAAACCCCTATGAGTCTGAGTTGCAACGACCGGCCGGCTCCTGATGCAACAGAGTGGCAGTCGCTGCTCAAAGGGAAGAAAAATGGATTTCCCCAGTACAGGTAGTCCTCACCTTATGACCATAATGGAGTCTGCCCATTACGGTCGTAAGTTCTGACAGCCGTAAAGCAGAATTCCAGATCCCAGGATGGAAGATGTTTTTGAAAGCTTCTCTTCGTGAAACACACCCAGAATTTGTCTTTCAAAACAGGGGCCTTCAAACTTGGCAGCTTTAAGACAGGTGGACTTCAACTCCCAGAATTCCTCCTCCAGTCATGTTAGCTCAGGAATTCTGGGAGTTGGACTCCACAAGGCTTAAATTTGTCAAGTTGGAAGACCCTTGGCTTAAAACAATCCCAACGAAGAAGCAACAGGACAATTCAAAGAGGCATCAACCACACGGTTGAGCCCCCTCCTCACTTTGCACAGAGGGAGACCATCTTTTAAATGGAGTTAAGAAGGCTAGCACTAGGTTCAACACCACACCTCGAGTCTGTCAAACTCAGCAAGTTTTTAGGATTGCACTGACATCAGCTCCCCGCATGACAGCTGAGGGATTCTGGGAGTTGAAGTCTCTTCTGGGAGTTGGAGGCCTCTTCCAAGTTGCTGAGCTTGAGGGCCACAGTTTGCAAAACACCACTTGGATCTTCTTACATGCTAACGGAGCTGCAAGCACTGGGGTGCCTCTCTTTCCAAGCTGCCGATAGGAAAACTCTCAAATCCCTACTACCAATAGGAGAACCACCACTTGCCAGGGAAGAAAGGATGGGCTCCCAGACTTTTAAGAAGGCGCTCTCACCATAAAGCAGAAATTCAGATAGCGATAGCCATGGCACTTAGACGTATAGACCGCTTCAGTGTTTGGCGGTCCTCTCTAAGGGGTTTAGAGCAGGGGTCTCCAACCTGGGCCCCTTGAAGACTTGTGGACTTCAACTCCCAGAATTCCTCAGCCAGCAAAGCCACAAGTCTTCAGGGGGCCCAGGTTGGAGACCCCTGGATTAGAGAGTCGGCCTGTGCCCCCCCACCCAACAATATGGGTTTTCATGCAAAATATTAGGCAAAAGTAAGAATAAGGTGAGTTGATTTATCTGGGCTTCTTCGCCAAGATACGCTACCTGATAAGTCTGTTATTGGGATGAGGGGGGAATCCAGGAGTTTTATTACAGGTAGTCCTCGAATTACAACCATTCGTTTAGTGACTGTTTGACGTTTACAACAGCACTGAAAAAAGGGACTTATGATCAGTTCTCATAGTTGTGACCGTAGCAACATCCTTACAGTCAACTTGATCAAAATCCAGGCCCTTGGCAATGAGCTCGTATTTACGACGGTTGCAGCCTCGTGGGGGATCGGGTCCACGTGGTCACCATTTGGGACCTTCCCAGCTGGTTTCTGACAAGCATAGTCAATGGGGGGGAGGAGGAGCTAAATTCGCTTAATGACTGCTTGATTCATTGAACAACTGTAGTGATTCACTTAACAACTCTGGCCAAAATGGTCGCAAAATTATGCAAGGCACAGTGAATAACAGCAACAGAAATCCTGATCTCGATTGTAGTCGTAAGTCGAGGACCATCTGTGTCTTCCTCTTCTGCACCCAGGGCAAGTAGGTAACAGCCAGAAGTTAATGTAGAGGTCCCCAAACTTGGCCACTTTAAGACTGGTGGACTTCAACTCCCAGAATTCTCCATCCTGGGAGTTAAAGTCCACCAGTCTTAAAGTGGCCAAGTTTGGAGGCCTCTGCATTAACTTCTGGCTGGCTGTTCTGCCAGGAGGAGCAACCTCAACAAGGCCAAACATCTGTCAGTCAAGGGCAGCTGTGTAGGAAGGCCTGGGGATGGTTTCCACACGGAGAACAAAATGGCTTCTTAGAGCAGGGAGGATTTATGGCAAGCAGCTCAACCTGCAGCGCCATAAACCGGCTGCAACCCAGAGTACAGGCAGTCCTCAATTTACGACTACCACTGAGCCCCAAATTTGCTGCTTAGTAAGACACTCATTAAATACATGTTGCCCCATTTTGTGACCTTTCTCGTCACGGTTATTAAGTGAATCTCTGCCACTGTTAGTAACACGGTTGAGTGGCTTTCCCATTGACTTTGCTTGTCCTGTCGCAAAAGGGATGGATCACATGAAACAGGGACATGGAAACTGTTGTAACTGTGAATCAATTGCCAAGCGTCCCCTTCTGATCCCATGGGGGGAGGATGCAGCAACGGTGGTGAGAAAAACGGTCCTAAGATACTATTTTCAGTGCCGCTGAAACTTCGAATGGTCACTGAAATGGTTGAAGTATATTTGAATAAATGAAATAAATTGAAATCAATTTGAATAAATAAATTCACTAAATGAACCGATGTTAAGTCGAGGACTGCCTTATAACTTTTCAAGTGGGCCACTCACACGCTGACATTAAGACGGGGAAAGACATGCAATACCCAGCCAAAGGAATATGGGAATCTCCACTCGTTTACTTCTGTCCAACAGCTATTTCCACCGCAATTAAATACTATTATTCCAAAAAAGAAAATGCAGCTCTGAAGAGTGAAGTGTGGCATTTTAAACATAGAGGGTTACTTGAAAATATGTATGTATGTATGTATGTATGTATGTATGTATGTATGTATGTATGTATGTGTTTAAGTAGTTACAGCTTGAAGACTAAGTGCAGTTACAGAGGAAAATTCAAATGAAGACATGGCCATCTATCAATCTATCCAGCAAAGTATGCGAATGGTTGAATGCACACCCCACAACATGGCAGCGGTTTCTGCAGATTTGAGACAAAATTCACAAGCCTGGCAAACTGTCCAAAAATGAAAATACAAGCGGCCAAAACCTACAAATCCAAACTGTTTTTAAATCTGAACCACCCAGTTTCAGGAGCAGGACAACTTCAAACTCAGAGAGGGTTGTAAAGCACCCTAAAATGGTATGTAAGTCTAGGGGCTATTTACTATGGACTCAGCCTTCTGTTACAGGTGTTATGTTTATCCTTGTGTTGTATTTACTTACTCTACACAAAACACCTTCCATCCTTCTGAGGTGGTCCACGGGGTCCCAGATGGTTGGGAGCAACATGCAAATAATGTATCTATGTTGCAAACCACCCAAAGAGGGGCTGCAAAGCAGGGGTCTCCAACTTTGGCCACTTTAAGCCCGGAGGACTTCAAAGCTGGCTGGGGAATTCTGGGAGTTGAAGTCCTCCGGGCTTAAAGTGGCCAAAGTTGGAGACCCCTGCTGTAAAGCATAATGGGCCGGTATATAATCCAATCAAACAGAATAGAGTTGGAAGGGACCTCGGAGGTCTTCTAGTCCAGCCCTTTGCTTAAGCAAGAGACCCTGTACCATTTCAAACAAATGACTGTCCGGTCTCTTCTGGAAAACCTCCAGTGATGATGATGATAAATAACAATAATCCAGAGACGACACCTGTAACACCATCCAACACCCACACCTGCCTATTTCGGGGTCCTTGGAAAAAAACTCGAGGGGCACCCCCAAAAATGTCAAGTCCAGCCCGAACATCTGCGACGAAATCATCATCATCATCCCCATCCTAATAGGAGGCTCCCTGCAACCACAACGCTTTTGCAGAAGGGGAGGGAAAAAGAGAGCATTATTCGGGGGGGGGGAGGCGAGCAAAAAGGCGCCAGGTGCAAACGGGCAACGGCAAAGCTTGCTTCGCAAACGCGGCCCGGGAAAGCGGGGGGGGGGGGGGAGAAATTTCTCGGCGTGAGGCCCGGGCTTTCCCGGGGCCAAGCGGGCCGGGAAGGCTTTCCAGGCAGAGGGGCCAAGCTCGCCTCCAGCCGCGGAAACAAAGCCGGGCCTAGTCCGGGCGGCGGGCACCCCGTGGCCTGGCGCGGGGGCCGTCCCGGCGGGGAGCGTTGCGGGCCGGGCCTCGATGACGGCGGGGGAGAGGCCTTACCGGGGGTCGAGGCGCGCTCCGAGGCGTCATGCGGGCGGCGGAAAGGCTGCTCCGGGCTGGGCGGGAGGCGCTGCGCCGCGCTCCGCCTCCCAGGCCGGGCGGGCAGCCAGGCGGACGTCAGGCCTTTTCAGGCGCCCCGCAGACGCCGCCGGCCTCGCCCCGCCGAGCAGCCCGGATGGGGGAGGAGGGGGAGGAGGCCTCCGCCCGCTCAGCCGACGAGGGCTTCCCGGGCAGGCCTAGGCCGCTCCGAACTGGGCCGCTTTCAGGACTCCAACTCCCAGAATTCCCGCGCTCCGCTTGCCCGCGCTCTGCTGGCTAGGCGGTTCTGGGAGTTGGAGTCCACCCGCCTGAAAGTGGGCCCACCTCAGAGAAGAGCCCGCTGGGTTTTGATTGCACTCCCCGTTTTTTTTTAACCCCACTCCCGTTTTTAATGTTTGCTTTGCTTCTGAGGTGGTTAATTTTTAATTTGGCCTGGATATTGATTTAGTTATATATTACTACGGTTTCCCTTGCCGTTGCCTCTTGGATCCGGTTGTAGGGCACAGAAGAAAATATGGGGAGGAGAATGAGGGGACTTGTCAATGTATTTCTTCTTTTCTCCACAACATCCTCTCAAAGAGTATAAAATCAGGGCTCCCCAAACTTGGCCACTTTAAGAATTCTGGGAGTTGAAATCCACAAGTCTTAAAGTGGCCAAGTTTGGAGACCTCTGGTATAAATCCTTTCCTTCCCCACTATCCTGTCAGAGCTGAAGAAGCTTCTTGGAGGAGGAGCGAAACGTCTTCAAAGAAAAACCAGAAAGTCCAGTTGCCTCTTGAAGGAGGAAAAAAAAAGCACCTTTGGGGCAACAATATCTCAACAAAAACTAGCGGTGGGCAACTATGGGCTATGAAGCCCACCGGTCGTAAAGAGGCCACAGTTACTCAGCCCTGCACCAAACGGACGGGACAGAACTTCTGAAGCAGAGTTTTCCAGGAGACTAACCTCAAGCTGGCTAATGATGGGGCTCAGCCCTTCCATTAAGCAAACACAACTCCACCAGCAAAGCCACAGAAACATCCACCCATCTCACATGAGCCTTGTGTGAGTTTATGACACGGCAACTAGGCAAAGCTTGCACAGAGTGCACAGCTAACCCTGACGGAAGGGAATATTTGGGGTTGAAATGAAGGGTCTTTTGTACTCTCTGGGCTTGGTTGTTGGTTTTTTTGCAGATGTTTCATGATCCAGCTAGGGAACATTATCAGTGCTAAAAGGGAGTTGGGTTAGCAAAGATGAGGAGGAGGAGGAGGAGGAGGAAGAGCACTGTGGGGTCCTTGGTGTTCTCTGAGCTTGGTTGTTGTTGTTTTTTTGGTTTTTTTTTTGCAGACGTTTCATGGCCCAACTAGGGAACTTCATCAGTGCTAGAAGGGAGAGGGACTTGCTCTCTGGGGCAAGCCACTTGTATATGAAGAAAGAGCAACCATCACTCTCGTCTAGCACTGGTGGTGTTCCCTAGCTGGGTATTGGAGTGTCTGAAAGGAAACAGCCAAGCTTAGAGTGCACCAAGAACCCCTGATAAATAAAAATATACAGACCCAGGGAGATTTGCCGCACCAAGTTTTGTTTCGAGAAGACCAAAATAGAATCAGTTTCACAAAACAGCACATTTCACACTTTACAAATGAGAAAATGTGAAACATTCCAGTCTATCAACAACAGAAGGCGCCTGGTAAAAGCTTATGCCTTTCAATAAAGTACAGAAAAGGTGCTACTAGACATTTTTTTAAAAAATTGGCCCCCTTGCAGAGTTTGCTTTTTATACTGGCCACACATCACCTAGTCCTCTTGCTGCTCTCAAAAGACCAGAGAATTTTTCCCAGAAGAAATAGCAAATCAGATGTCTCAAAGGTGTTTTTTCCCCCAAAAGGCAGCTGGACTTTGTTTTTCTTTGAAGACGTTTCACTTCTCATCCAAGAAGCTTCTTTGGTTCTGACTGAAGTTTTGACCAGTCAGAACCGATGAAGCTTCTTGGATGAGAAGCGAAATGTCTTCAAAGAGAAAGAAAGTCCAGCTGCCTTTTGAAGAAAAGAAGAAAAAAAACAACATGTCTGAGAATCTATTTCTAGATTCTAATTTCTACACCTAGAAAACCTAGAACTACGCCGCCTTTGGTCCGATCTAAGTATAGTATGTAAAATCATACATTGCAATGTCCTACCTGTCAATGAACAGCTTCAACCATAACAACACAAGAGCAAACAATAGATACAACTACCTGTCAATGAACAGCTTCAACCATAACACAAGAGCAAACAATAGATACAACTACCTGTCAACGAACAGCTTCAACCATAACAACACAAGAGCAAACAATAGATACAAACTCAAGGTTAACCGCACCAAACTTGATTGCAGGAAATACAACTTCAGCCACAGAGTGGTCAATGTCTGGAATCCTCTACCCGACTCTGTAGTTTCTTCCCCAAACCCCCAAAACTTTAACCTCAGACTGTCTACTATTGACCTCACCCCTTTCCTAAGAGGTCTGTAGGGGGCCTGCATAAGCGCACCAATGTGCCTACCCTCCCTGTCCTATTGTTTCTTTTTATTTTTCTTATATGTATCCGTTTCATATATCCATAACTATGTTTATACTTATATCTGTTATCTTATAATTGCTTGACAAAATAAATAATTAAAGAATCTCCATAGCAGATCAAATGCAATTCTACTCTCAAAGCAATTCACATTTACAGAACAATATCATTGACACAAAACTTTCTAGGAAAAAAAAGCAGCAGCAGCAAAAAAGATTGGCCAATGCCTTCCAGGGCGTGTTGGAGACGAGAAGCAGCCGCGTTCCAGGCACTACGTCTTTATCCTCATTTCAGTTGGCGCCAAGAGGACGGAGGTTTCAAAGAGGGAAAGAAATGCAGCTCCAAAGATCCGGCCTCAAAGGGGGGAAGATCCCTGGGACTCCTCCAGATGGGTCTCCCCAGCGACACCGGGATGCAAACACGGCGCGGAAAGCCGGAAAAAAGATTTTCACATTTCCTGACTTGAAAGCAACACCACCCGTCGTACAAACCTGGCTTGCACAGACATGTCCAACGCTGGAGTTTGTGCCGCTGAATTTCTGTCGACGGCTCTCCCCACCTCCACAGGTAAAGGGAGGGGAAGGGGGGGGGTAACAGCACATCTGGCTCCCAACAAGGTCCAGGCAGCGACCAGCAACTTCAACTTATCACAGTAATTTCAGGGGGGGGGGGGGGGGGGGGGGGAGGCTACTGAGAAAGCCAGCTGGACAAGAAGGCGGGTAACAGAACAATTGGGGGCAGAAATTTTGTTGCTAAACGAGCAAGGGTTATTATGTGAGTTGCACCTAGTTTTAATGGTTTCCATGGTTAGATGGCCTAGGTCAGGGGTCCCCTACTGGCTGGAGAATTCTGGGAGTTGAAATCCACCAGTCTTAAAGTGGCCAAGTTTGGAGACCTCTGGCCTAGGCCCCGCCAAGACACTGGTGTCTGAACATTGATTTTTTTAAGCATTCCTATGTTCAAAAGACCAATGTTCAGATATTAATGCCTAGGAGCAACTCACAACCACCATTGCTCATTTAGCCACAAAAATTCAATTTTATTTTGTTTGTTTTAAATCTAGGCAAAATGTTAATATATACACTGCAAGTCATCAGTGCTAGAAGGAAGTGGGGGTTTCTGGAGGGAGGAGGAGGAAAAGGACAACAACTGTTCTTGGTATTCTCTGAGCTTGGTGGTTTTCTTGCAGATGTTTCATTACCTAACTAGGTATCATTATCAGTGTTAGAAGGGATGAGGAGTAAGAAGAGAGAGGGGGAAAGGACTGTGGGGTCCCTGGTGCTCTCAGAGCTTGGTGGTTTTCTTGCAGACGTCTCATGACCGAACTAGGGAACATCATCGGTGCCAGAATGGAATGGCGTTTGCTCTCTTTCTACCCTACTCCCTTCCAGAATGTTACCTGGTTATGTAATGAAATGTCTGCAGGAAAACAACCAAGCACCATTGAACCCTCAGTTCAATCCTGAGCTTCTAGCAGCATTAATCAAATTTGTATGCTGCCCATCTTGCTATGGATTGACTCTAAGCAGTAAGTAAAGGCAATAAGATAAAAACATCAGCTATCAAAATGATAAATACTGAAATTAAAATTGACTTCACAAAGTCGGCAAGGAAAGCAGCCAGATGCACACAGGTACTTCTTGAAAAATGGATGTTGTATTATTATTATAATACTCCTTATTGTTTCCTTTTTCTGTCTTTTTATTGGGTGCAAGGTACACCAAAAGACACACTGGAAGCTGCCACACACCACTGAGCAGCCCCGAAATCTCCACCAGAAAGGCTGGGATTCCAGATCCCTCAGCAACAGGGAGTAAAGCCAGCAACCGCTGCAGTGTGCATTTATTTTGGGTGTCTTTTTAGCATTTTTATCTTTTTCATGGTTTTGGACACGGAAGCTACCCAGAGTCCTTGACTGAGGTGGGTTGTTACAGCAATCAAATTAATGCAATAGGTAAATGAATAAATGAATAAAACATGTCCTGGCAACCCAAGTTTCCCCACTTAGCAGGCCTGTGAACAGAACCACGCAGGGACAACTAGAGGAGGGGTCTCCAACCTTGGCCCCTTTAAGACTTGTGGACTTCAACTCCCAGAATTCCCCAGGCAACCCTAACAACTCATGGCTGGCTGGGGAATTCTGGGAGTTGAAGTCCACAAGTCTTAAAGGGGCCAAGATTGGAGACCCCTGAACTAGAGAACCAGGCAGCTAAAAGCAAAGAGGAATTTTGGGCTTGGAGGGCATCAGGGAAGGGAACTGGGGAAGAGGAGGTAGGGGGGAAGGAGGAGGCCTCCAAGTCACAGATCACAACCTCCCCATCACACAGACACACACACACACACAAAAGCATCCCAGTTGTGGAGTCCCCTGTTAAGGACAGTCATGGATTCTGCAGGGTGGGAGTGGGGGGGGGCACATCTGGACAGGGGAGAAGGAGGCTGCCTGGGAGAGGGGGCTGCCAAGGGGGTCTTTTGGGGTCCCCCGTGCAGAATTGCACCCCGAAGGAGAAATGAATGCACCCTCCCCCCAACACAGAATTCCCGCCCTTGAGCAGAGCCCCGAAATGAAGGACCCCCGCCCCATAGGAAGGGCACCCGAAGCATCGTTTTGGGGGGTGGGGGGAGGAAAAGAGCCCCCCCCCACTGCCTCCT